ATATATATATATATCAAAATCACAAATAAATTTAAAAAATAAGAACTTTTCTTTACTACTTTTATTTGACAGTTATGATTATGAATGCAAATAGTTTGGGCAGTCTTGCAATTAGATCTCTTTACAAGAGCAGTGCCAAAAATATTCCGCTTTGCTAGTTACCTCTATGAAAAAAGCAGGACAGCAGAACTGGGTTTATCAGAATCAGAATCAGCTTTTTTGGCCAAGTATGTTGACACACAAGGAATTTGTTTCCGGCTGATGATGTCTCTCCAATATACATACATACAAAATACACAGTGATAGAAGCGCAATAGCATAAGAAATAAACATAGTATGTGGATTATATACAAATAATATATACATTTTATGTACAGTAAGCATGCACAAAGAAAAATACTGAGAAGAAAACTGTTGACGAGACATTACCTACAAAGATGAACATGTTTTCATAACCTAGGTAGACAATATGACTCTAAGCAGGTTTAATCGGGGTTACTGTGGCCAAAGGTTTTGGCAATCATGACACTTCAGTTTCATTTCCAATCATCAGTCTCTCCAACTTCTGTAGAGTACAGCAGAAAGAAGAGAAGGAATAAATATTGTAATTATCTTGTGTGAGATCATTTAGCCAACAATCTTTGCCCATCTGCATCTTTCTACAGACAACACTGCCAATATCCTGACGAGAAGAGGGGGATTCAGCCGGCGGGAGATGAGCATGTACTTCCTCCCTGTCGTGATCTCCGACAACGACTACCCCATTCAGAGCAGCACTAGCACGCTGATTGTGCGCGTGTGTGCTTGTGACAGTCGTGGAAACATGCAGTCATGCAGCCCCGAGGTCCTGCCCTTTTCAGATGGTCTCACAACTGGAGCTCTTGTGGCCATACTGCTCTGTGTCATTATTTTACTCAGTAAGTACCCTTATGTGAGAGCATGTGTATGTACTCGAATAGGTTTGAACACTGATGTCATTCTTATGGTGTTTATTTTGTTCTACAACAGACATTATTTATCCTTCCAATTACAACTTTGTTTTTTTTTCTGAAGTCTACTCACTACTTTTAATGTTCTTCAGACCTTACAGTGAATTTAAAATGCTTCCTCCCTCATTCCCACTACAATAAATCCACATTAAATACACTATAAATGCACATTTTTATTAATTGTTGTTATCAAGTTTACATAATTAAACCACCATTAAATCTTTTGCTTATATATTTTTTTATAATAATGCTTTTACTTTTACCAATATTATAATCCAACGCTGTGTTGTGTTCTAAGGTTTACACAAGGAATTCATTTATGTTCTGTTTGGTTGCTGTTATTTCTTGTTGTTGCAAGAGGGGGCTGCTGTAACAACATAGTAAAAAAAAAGACTGCTGGTAAAAACAACTGAGTAAGATACAGGAAATGCTGGGTAACAGTATTGTGGAATAATGTCTGGCATAAAGGCACACTCGCTGCAATAAAGTTTGTGAGTTTAACTGTAATTTTCTATTTCAGTAAAACAACCACAATAGATTGTTTGGATATTGTCAGGGAAAAAGTGACAAAAGAAGTAGTACATAAAATAAAGTCATTAGGGATTATCATATTTTTTGTGATGTACAAGTAATATTATTAGCATATTACTAAATTCTGTTTGGTATCTATTTGGCCSCTTGCAGCAAATTGTTGCAGTTTGATAAAACCATCTGATGTCTTCAATTTAGTTTTACCTTGTTTTCATACTTTGAACACCTTCATTGTGCATTTTATAGTGCAGTTATGAACAGACATGATGTACAAACTAGTGGCACATCTCCTTAGTTATCTTTCCACTCATTTTTACCCATTAACATAACCAGAATGTGCTATTATTTAGGTACTTAACATAATTATGAAATACTTTGTGAGAGTTCAAATTCAATAACCCTCATCTGACCATTCMTTGATGGTCCGTAATACATAAACACTTTGCACAGCCTTTTCAAACACTGTACCGGTATATATCATTGCAAACAGAATGCAGACAGAAAGCAGCCAACCAACTGAAATCAGTWAAATATTACTGAAAAGACATAGTTTTGCCACTATGCCAGCAGCTTGACATCTCAGCATATTAGACCAATGAATACAACTAAGCACATCAGCCCATTGTTCCAAATAGATGTCACTCTTAAACTGTAACATCTCACAGTACTGATAATGAGAGCCTTGAGAGTGCATCACAAGTGATGGCTTTTCAACAAATCAGCAATTAAAAGCTGAGGGAATAAAAACAATAACAKAATACAATTCTGCTTTATTTTCTGAAACACTAAGTTTGTCAGAAAATTTTCAAAGGCTGATGTTTGTGGCTTGGTCTCTGTTTTTAAACATGTTCAGCAGGGAGATGCTGTTTAATTTTGCTTTTGCATAGCTCATTTTTATTGTTATACAGAGCTGCTAATAACACCTTCAAACTGTTTAAATTTATGATGCTTATATCTATTTGGTCTTTACAAACATATTGCACAATGTTGTGCTTAGTGTTGTATCATCCAAAACTGAAAATTTTAATGATATCATGTTTGAATGCATCATGCCGTGATGTAATTTGTCATGGTTTACATGATGAGTACTGTCTTGCAACTTAGTGGTGAGTCAGTAATAGGTGAAAATGATTAGCTGACCATTGATTAAGGATGATCAAGCTGAAAAGTATGTATACAATTGGATGATAAACTCCATCAAAATGAAATATTGTATCTATTGTGCATTCACTAACATTGTTTTTTAACAGATGAGTATAAGCATTTTAAGTACATAATTTAAATAAATAATTTATAGTTGCTGTGAGGAAAAAAAAACGCTACTTAATGCTGCTTTGCTTAATGCCTGCTGAAGTTGGATTTTTCTTCCACAGCCTTGTCCTGTAAACCCAAATTGACAAGGTTGTGCACAAAAAAGGGTGATAACTGTAGTGATAAAAAAATGCAGCTAAATAAATGCAGTATTTGCAGTGCTTCTGGTTTGTATCTCAGTAAAGGAGGTGCCCACGCAAGGGCCTGTCTCTCTTAATGAACWTGTTGCTACAGGGTTTCACTGCATAAAATGAACAAAAACACTCTACATTAATTTTTGGTTTGCATTTCTAATATTAAGTAACCTTTTCACCAAGATTGCAACAAATCCCACTGGGTTTTCYATCTTCCAACAAGAACATGATTCAGTTGGGTGTGATGTAATTCCCAGATTGGAGTTCTGACATCCAAGGCAAATAGGTGGAATATAGCCTCTTTTTTCTCAGTCTGGACCAGTCCTGGTTGCTTAGTGTATTAGCATAGTCAAATCCCTGTGGTAATGCAGGACATGCATATTATAGAGACTTGTGTCCTAAAATATCATAGGAATAATAAACCAAGACATTAGGCCCATGTTCATAACTTTTTTTTTTCAAATTTTGATGTCACTGTTTTGCATTCTCTGTAGAGAAATAATGTCTTGCATAGTGTTGTCATTAAGCAAAAGTCATGTTTCCTTTTATAGTTTTAGGTTAACGCTTTTATTGATATGTGTTTTGTAAAACTTCATAAAGTTAGAAGACAACTTTATTGTCCTGAACTTTTACAGCAAACCAAACCCCATTCTGTATCATTAAACAGTTTGTTGTGTGAAATGATGGAATCACTGATCTAACCCAAATGATTTGTTATTGAAACACCTTGAATCTCCTGTGGTAGATGTGGAGCTGCCTAAATGCKTCCTGGGACAAAGTACCGCCCATTTGTACACAGCACCGCCCTGGAACTTTATGCTTTCTATTTGTAGACAGAACTCTGAAAGGCTATGAAATAACGCATGAATTTTTCAGACACTGTAAGTGTAAATTTACTGTATATGTTGAGACTTTCTTTGGTTAATGACTGGGAGATGCATTTAGAGAGTCATGGCAGATTTTGGACATGAGGAGAGGAGGGACAGTGTGCAGATAAGGATGTTATAAAGCTGCCAGAACAAAAATAAATAAGTAAATTAAAAAAATAAATAAAAACAAAAGGAAGGCCAAAAAGGAGATAGATGGATGCAAACAGAAAGGACATGGTGGTAGTTGGAGTGAGGATAAATGATGCAAAGGATAGAAGGAGGAGGATGATTTGCTGTGGTGACSACTGAAGAGGGAAAAGCAGAAAGAAGATAAAGCAAATGATACATTAGTTACATAATATCAAAAGTGGTACATCAAAAATATGCCCATACTTTYATAAATCTGTACTTTTAAAAATTAGCATATGTGTGTGTTCACTCATGTAACCCTGATCCTTAATTCCATGTGTTTAACCAAATTATTTTTTTCTGCTCTCATCATGTTTTTTAAATATTGGTGTTTTTGGAACAGATCTTTTTTTTTCTGACACCGCAGAGTACTTCAGTGAAGACCAGCTTTTCTTCCATCTGCCTGTTTTTATATCCAAATTTACAGCCCTGTATCTGATGCTAGGCAGACATCCACAAGCATATCAAGTGTGTTGAAAGTAACGCTCTTCTCTTTAACAAAATATCATGACATCCGCATATTTTTTGACACTTCCCTGACATCCTTTTGATGCCAATATGCAAGGCACTGAGCTGGAAAGGCTCAGTTCTTCTCATTTCAGGCTTTCATGTCMTCTAAAACCATGAACTGCTCAAAACACACAATTTTGTAAATAACAATCACCCTCAAAACTCATGTCAAAGGTATAGCAATTAGCACCCAGGTGGAATACAAGCAGAAATCAACTCTGCGTATTGTGAGGACACAGGAAGGAGAGGAAGCAGGAGGAAAGTAGTGCAGGTGAAACAGGGTTTGTGCTTAGCTAAACAAAAGAACATTTTCTTTTAAAGAATCATAAAATTATTAAAAAAAAATACTTGCAACCACATGGAAGAACATGCTCACTCTGCAATCTCGGGTCTTTTACCCCTGAGATGAAATATGAAGATGCTTGTTGAAGAGTATAAAATGGGATCCTCCAACCACTATGCATTTTACAAAGTGAWTGTGCCATTCGAGAGAAAAAAGGGAAGAAAAAGCTTTTTCACTGAATCTTTAATAATAGGAGGTGAACCCCTGAGGCAGAGTTAGGGATTTGTCACTGGTAGCAAATGTATCTCTCCCTTCTGCTCTTTGCTCCCCCTTCTTAATGCATGACACATGTTAGCAGGCACACGTCTTATGCTGCACTTTTCCTCTCTGCTTTCCCCCACTGTTTTTTGTGCAGTGATCGTGGTGCTGTTTGCTGCCCTGAGGAGACAGAGGAAGAAGGAACCTCTGATCATCTCCAAAGAGGATGTCAGAGACAACGTTGTAAGCTACAACGATGAAGGGGGAGGAGAGGAGGACACCCAGGCCTTTGATATCGGCACGCTGCGCAACCCGGAGGTGATGGATACTAACAAGCTTCGCAGGGACATCATACCTGAAATGCTGTTTCCCTTTCGGAGGACATCACCGATAAAGGATAACACGGATGTGAGAGACTTTATAAACGGGAGGCTTCAGGAGAACGACTCAGACCCAACAGCACCCCCTTATGACTCACTGGCAACTTATGCGTACGAGGGCAGTGGTTCATTGGCAGAATCTCTTAGTTCACTGGAGTCTGCTGCTACAGAGGGTGACCAGGATTATGATTACCTCAGCAAMTGGGGACCACATTTCAAAAAATTGGCAGAGATGTACATAGGGAGGAGCCCTGATAGAGAGACCTAGACAAAGCCATCAGTCTGCCAAACTCCTTTTTAGTGTCTGTTTAGYTAGCTAGCTAGCCAGGCAGCTATTTGTCTAGTTAGTTAACTGGCCAGCTAGCTAACTGTGTCTCTCTATCAAGCTATCTGTTTGTCTAATTTACTAGCTAGACTGCTAGTTAACTGGTTGTTTGTTTGATCAACATACATGCACACAAATGTGCCCTCACAACAGTCGCTTTATACAAGTGGATGCTGAAATGGAAGACTTGAACTGAACTGAATTATCCGAACAATGGAGATAAACTATAGATCTCAAAGTTTTCACTGTTTTATGGTCATAATCATTAAAGATGCCTTTAAATTTTAGGATTTTTTGTGAACAATGGTGTGGATAATGCGTTTTGTAATAACTTGAAAGATAGTAATATTGTATACTATCAATGTTCAGTGGTACTGGCTTGGCTTGGGTGGGAAAGGGAAGGAGTCCAAAGGCTTTTTCCTGCCAACTCCATTAAATACTGTAAGTGTACAAAGTGTTTTTAATGATGGACATCATATATACTATTTGCTATCTCTGTTTGACAAGCAATGTTCATGTGAATGGTTGGTGCAGTTTATTTGTCAAACTGTGGATTCATTTCATGATATAGGTGTAACATGTAATGGAAAGTGTATGTTGTAGGAAACCATCATACACTACTTTCATGCTATTTGAATGCTGAGTCACATTGTTTTATATTTATATTTTTATACTTATTTTCATAATAAAATTAATTTTTAAAAATCCAGCTAATTTTCCACTTTTCTATTTAAAGAAATTCTAGTTCCAAATACTAAAAAGGACAACCTGTACAAGGGAAGATCTAAAGAGTTATTAGATTAAAACAACATTAGACAATGATGCATGAAAGACGATCTATCTTTCCATCAATTTGCAAGGTCTTTGCTCTTTTTTCTCCCTACTTTTAAGGACATAAGACAGGTAATGTTCATTTGTTGTAGTATTTTTTAGAACTCTTTGACAGATTAATTACTGTCAACTACTCTCCTTTTTTAAAGCTCAAGAACACATTCCTTGTCTGTRTTATGGTGAGGTACAAAGTTTGGATGTAAACTTAGTTTAGCAAAAACAAAGAAAACATCAGAAAGTCTAGGGAATATTGATGAAGAGGATTTCCAACGTGTTGGAAACAAATGGTAAAAAGAAAAAAAAAAGAAAATGTTTTACACTTTGGCATAGTAACTAATCTACGGTGCTTAAATGCGTTTATGACAGGAGCATGAAAGTGACATGTCTTTTTTTGTTTTGTTTTGTTTTGTTTTCTAACAGTATGACAGAAACTTGGCATCTAGTAGCAGTAATGTGTGGTAATTATCTAGGATATGTCCACACACACACAGTGTAAAACTATTATTTTTCAAAAATCTTATTCAGTGTCAACCTTTTCTGAAAATAACTGCTCCTGTAAGATGACTGAGCTGGACATGGAAGTTAACGTTGATTGTGTTAACCAACTTTGTAACAGTCAAGTTGATAAATATCAGCATCAGTTTCACTGGGACATGTATAACTAACCAAGGAAATGGACTAGATTGAGGCCAGATTATGGTTCTCACTTTCAAATAATTATACTATACACTGGACTGCCTCAACGCAGTCATGACATAAAATGTACAAGCAAGAAGAAAGAAGACAGTTTCACAATAAAAGCTCAAACAATTCTGAAAATGTTTTTGGTATCTTATAGATTGCTTGCCACAGTGACTGTAAATTTCTACATTAACTTGAAAATTGTATAACTAAAAACTTCACCTTTTCATCATCATCATGCTTTATAAGAAACATGACATTGGTTTAGCAAAGCTAAAAAAAGGTGCTCCGTAAAACAGTTTATAGGGTTAAATGCAAATTAGGCACATGTACTAGCCTATGCATCAATTATAACAGCCAGTGATTAATCCAATCCCTGTGATGTTTTATTTATTTATTATTTTTTTATGTCCAGTCATTGCAAAAGAGCAATAAACTGTCTCTACAAAAGTCTTCAGAAAAAAAATTATCCTACTTTTTATTTGATTTGTGACATCAGTAAACATTTTCTAAACAGGTTTAGAACCATAATAATTAGTTTGATAGATTGTGTAATAACATAACACCTGCTTTAAGAAAGCATGGATCCGTTCTTTGAACTGTGATCCCATTCTGCATAAAATATGTAAAATGGCAGTGTAAGCATTACATTTGCACAGTCTGAGCCCAGTATCTTATTAGTGTATACCAGATATTATCAAGGGAGGCTGTGGCAGAGTGGCTAGTCGTCCTGTAACCGGTGTGTTGCTGGTTTGATCCCTGTTCCATTTACATCAGTTGTTGTGTCCTTGGGCAAGACATTTCACCCATCGTGCCTGCTCGTGGTCAGAGGACTTGGTGGTGCCAGTACATGGCACCCTTGCCTCTGTCAGTCTGTCCCAGGGCAGCTGTGGCTACAATGTATCTTCTCACCTCAATGTGCGGATGGATTATTGTTATTGTCTTATCCAGCACAGTCCAGCACACTGAAAACATGTAAAAATATCCAAATAATAAATCTGATATGTTGATTACAGGGCTGTTTTAAATACAGTACATTGTACAAATGAATACATTATTGTACCGGTATATAT